GTTGTTGGTACTGCAAAATATCTTTAAGCGTAGGCACGCCAACACGCTCATATAAGCGCTTCACCTCGTCTGAGTTAGCGACTGCCTGTTCCCCATTTTTATTCTTTAAATATATGACTGCTCCCCGTATGTGTTGAATTGCATATGGGCCTTCAAATTTTTGGCAAAACGTTCCCACTGTATCGTTTGTTGCACATTATAACGAATGTTTCCTTTTCAAAATCTTATCTCTCACCTTGAAATTATTGTTTCCACACATTTTATCGTAATAGAGTTTGAGTTCACTTCTTTACATATCGGAAATTTTAATAGCCACGACTACTAATATTTAGATGTCAGCTTTCTCAAATTCTGATATACTTTTTAGAACAAAATTAGTTTATACAACGGGGTAACCCATTTTCTTCCAAATAACTCTGCTGGTGTCTTCCCTGTCGTATCACGTTTAGATGACCTCAAAACAAATGCTAATTCATTAACTCAGTCATCCCAGCGCTTATAATAGTTTTACTTAACAATGCATACTATGTTCTTATTTACCTGCTTTACAATGTTTACTCTCAAACTATGTTCTTATTTACCCGCTTTACAATGTTTGACTGGGGCCACCATTTCTAAGGTACAGTCAAAAGTCGTTAATTCGGACACCCATAATCCGGAATGATCTATAATCCGGACCTCAAAGCTACAAACTTTCTGCGCATGTGTCGCGTGACGCATGAGCGTAAGACCTTTACCGCTGCGAATTTGGTGTGCGCAAATACATTCCGAATGCGCGTTTGATGTATAAGACAGGATAAGCTAGATATAAAATTATCTAATATCTATTTTCGTTAATGTTGCAGATTGCGTCCTTAATCTTCGAATTGGATCCGGATAATATTTTTTAAGTTTAGAGCAATTTTATAAAAGTTTTTTCCATATTCATATTATTACTAATATAAGGATATACAAGCGAAAGTATCTTTCGGAGTCATAACAAAAAGTGGAATTGCTGCAAAAAATGGATAAAGCATATCCTTTATTTATCTAAACTTAACGTTTGTTTATCTAAACTTTGTTTTCTTAACGCCCGGCCGGCGGGGTGCAATGAATTGGAAGTTGATCTGTCAGCACTATCCTTATCTTAAGGGCAGATGTTTTTATTTATTTGGCTTATAATTGCTTACTCATGTAGTATTTCATCTCGTCTTTGATATGATTTAAATCAAGTGCCTCGTCATTATAATTCGCTTCCGATAGCGAAGAAAGTAACAGAGGTTATTGAAAACGAAAAAATTTCGATTGACAAATTAGTCGGTATTCTTGACACAGCAATTATAGGACTTGAACAGCGGAACTTTGTAACTGAACAAGAAATTATATCTGTTTATAGAATTAAAGAGAATGTATTATAACATAAAAAACAAAGCAACTTAAACAACTTACATTGAAAGAAATGTTTAATAAAGTAAACAAATAAATATTAAACTTTTTTTGTAAATTTTGATAACCTTTAGATCATAATTGTTCTTTATTTCGTAATTTACGGTTTCATATTTTTAATTTTATAATTTCTGCATGCCAATTTACCAGATTTAAACTGATGATCTATAATCCGGAATCGCCGAAGTCCCGACGAGTCCGGATTAACGACTTTTGATTGTATATGATAAGGTACTGTTTTTAAATACCCCTTGCATAGTGCCTCAAATATTTGACTAACGAACTTTTCCCCGTTATCCGAAATTACTTTTAATGGAGCTCCATGTTTCTAACAATTTTTGAAAAGGCTCTTTTGAGGGGGAGGCACTTTTTCTACCCACTTAGAAAAAGGATCCACAATAATGTTTAAATATATATTTTTATTGATTTCACTACGGGAGTATGGACCTAATAAGTCTAGTCCTATCAATTCCTTTAGGAAAGTAGCTTTTATACTATTAAGATACACCTGAAGGTATATACCATATACCTAAAGGATATAAAAATACCTTTTATAATATTTAGATAGTTATTATCGTTAACTAACCGGCAAATATCTCATGACTCGACATAGTGACTAATAAACTATTGTAGCTGTGGGAAATAAACAGCCTTGCGAACTTGCTGTACCGTTTTCCTTATTTCAAAGTGACTTGAAATCGCCTAATCACACAATTCCTGCAGAATGCACCTTAAACTGCCTGGGATAACCAGTCTGAATTCATTATTCTCAGTAATTTTTGCATAATAGGCTGTTAATGACTTCATATTTAGCACTCTATTCCTTATGGTCATAATGTCCTGATGATCAAAATGGTCAGGGTTCTTTTGGATATGCATGTCTTTAAATTCAGGCCTCTGTTTGTAATTCAGAGATAACAGTTTCACGAGAATCAAGGCCTTTTGCTGTAAGCATAGCACATTTAAGCGCATTCCCCTCCTCGTCTAATTTTATTCTTGACAACGCATCGGCCATTACATTTTCCTTCCCAGGTGTATGTTTAATGATTAGGTTGAATTCTTGAACTTTAAGGACTCATCTAATCAGTCTTGGCAATAAATTCTTTCTTGGTTTGGTTTGGTTTATTAGATTATGGCAAAGCACTCAAGGGCTATCTGCCTTAAGGAAGGGATGCCTTCGTGGAGGACTTTTTAAGGGAAGCTGGCTCGTATACACGTTACTCGTATACTCGTTCGTGGGGAAAACCACGAAAACTCCCATGCAGCCATCCCGTTCGCGGGATTCGAACCTCGGACCACAAGTGTTCAGTGACGTTACCGCTCGCCCGCTGGTGGGCTAAATTCTTTCTTCAGTACAAGCGACGCACAGCCTGTGATCCGAATATATTATAATGGGAATCTTTCTCAAAATATATTCTACATGTTTGAACTGCTATGATTTCTCTTTCTGTAGCCGTATGATTTCTCTGAGTAGGATTGAGAGTTTTACTAAAATATACAATTGGTTGACCATTTTGATTTAGAAGAGCACCCACTCCATAATGGGAGGCAACCGCAGCGATTTCCAAGTTTTCATCGCTTTCAGGAAACTTTAATACCTCTGCTAGAATTAATGCTTGTTTTTGTTACTTGAAAGTAGTACTTGCTTCTGCCGACCAAGTAAATTTGTAACCAAGAAAAATCCTGCAATATGATCACATGCCTAAAAATTAAGATAACTTCTTAGCAGTATTAGATGGAGTTTACTCTTTTATAGCAGTAATTTTTAAATTTTCTGTTCCACTTCCCTTTTTCAATATTTTATATCCTAAATAACGAAGTTCCATGGTCACAAATTGACATTTTGTGGCATTTACTTTTATTCCTGCATCGTTTAGAAGGGAAAATACTTCGTGTAATTCCTTACTGCGTTCGTCAATCGTCTCACTAGTAATTATTATATCATCTAAATAAGTAAACGTGCTCTTACCCAGGACTGGTATAGTTTTCGGACCGTCTTTAGGCTTTACGCCAAATCTAAAAGTATCCTGTCAGATCTAAAGTAGTCATGCACTTTGTGGATTTCACTTTGCAAATGATTTCTACAATTATGGGAAGGGGATAGACAATATATTTAGTAGCACTGTAAAGTTTCCTACAATAAACTGCGTATTGCCATGCTTTGTAATTTGTAGGTGGGAGACTGTTCGTTTTCGGCATAAAACCCCCTGGTTAGGGTAAGGGATACTTAGCGGAATTATAATTTCATTTAGATCTCTTGTATACAAGCTTCTGTTATTTGCTGTCTAATATAGAAATCGGGAATGATATTCTGGAGCCATACACAAATCGAAGAGAGAAATGTCTGCATTTGTATGCTATTAGAAATAAAATAGTACTTATAAAAAGCTTTCTGATGAGAAGAGATTACATGGCGAGCAGATTTTTGAGAAAACTTTTAGTCAATGTTATTATTTTTATTTTCCAAAAGATGGTTATTATCGAAATCATTTGACAGCATTTAAGGGAGAGAGGGAAATCAACCTCAAATTATCCTAATTTATTTAATAATCAACCCCTCAATTCAAATGCAAGAGTGATATCAAATATCGCAAATTCTGAAATTAAATAGCTCAATAAATTTTTGACATACGAGAGTCAAACTTTTCGTGTTTTATATTTTTGCAAAGAGTACAAAATTTTCAAAAAAAAAAAAAAAATTATAGGGGTCGGAAGACAGTGTAACACATTAGATTTCGTGTTTAATTCAAAATTATTAGTTTAATTAAAAAATCCGAAAACATTCCACCGCCCCTATGCAGCATAGGGACATTGAGTTTGCTTCATTTGGCAGTAGTCATATTTAATACTAAAAGGAATACTACATCCACTGCATTTCAATTAAAGTAAACCCACCACGGCCGAGCGGTAAAGCCGCTGAACACTGGTAGTTGGTCCGAATCCCGCAAATGGGCTGGCCGCATGGACGTTTTCCTCATGTATAATGTGTACACGAATCAATTTCCCTTAGAAACTCCAAGAAGGCCTCGCTCACCTTAGGCAGAGAGCCCACGAGGCTTTGCCATAATCACATAAACTAAAACCAACTAAAGTAACGGCGACCTATTATAGCCCTCGATGTTCACTTAAAAATCATGATAAACCAACTGACCCCTATTTCGGACGGAAGCATTCTTATCCAAATTATGTCTCCCTTTTCTTAAAGTCCTAGAATAATATTCTTGTGGACAGCCCACCTTCTTTGAAGAATTATTTACTTCCTCAAGCATTCCGATTTCTACGTAAGGAAAAGGGTGTGCATTATGTGGCTAATATACCTAAAAATAGAAAAAATCTAGTTTGAAATCATCGATGCCATTTATAAGCCAGAATATACGGTATATACTTTTTAAGAAACTACACGTGGATTGCATACGCTTGCTTTCCAATCACTTTGGGAAAAAAAGTACAATAACTGTCTGAAACATTTGAGTAGTAAATGTCGTAATTCTATGATACTTTAAATATGAAACTAATTCGAGTATAAAAGGAAATATTTAGGTAAATCCTCTTTGTAGTTTCATAATAAAGACAAATTTCAGGTAAAGGACTTTATTAAAACAATCATTTCAGGGGAACATTAACAAAAATGAACACTTGGACAAGTCCTATGCACTAAAATGATATTTATAAAGACATTATTGCAGATATTTACAAGATTTTCTAAGAATATTTTACAAATACTAATGTAATACAGAAATGCAGTTGTATAATGGACTGTATATTAGAAGACAAAACTACAAACAACAAAACAGTAAAAAGTAAATCTAATAACATTTATAACATTTAAAACATAATAATGTGACCTTTTAAGAATTATTAAAATTTAAGTGGATGCATTAAAACTCTAGTACCTTAAAGTAATATCTGGTCCCTACAGAATTCCTCATTTCTTATGTGATAAATTATATATTTTCATACTTTTCAAAAAATATGGCTATGCAGGATGCCTTTCCAAGGTTAAAGAACATATACAGTTGTGGCACTATGCTCTTTCTTCCAAAAGAAGATAATCTTGCTACAATGCAAGAACTTTCAAAAGAAAATTCAGGATATTAAATCAGCTGAAGAAAGGACTATCTAGCAAAATTTCTATACAGATTGGTAACCCCTTTGGCGGCTTCGCTGACGTGCAACTAGATAGGCAATTAATACTATAACAATAAGAGCACACAAGGCACAAGCAACAGCAATGGGGATCACATCACTCACTTCATCATCAGCTTCACACTGCTCAGCTGAAAGTATGCAATAATTTAATGAATTACAGAATTTAGAGCACTGAATGACACAATTCACAATTAAAATAAACAACAAAAACAAAACAACAACAAAAAAAATTACAATTCTATACTTCAATTTAAGATAAAAATTTCAAATTCTTAGATTATGTTAAAAAAAAGATAGGAAAAATTGGTTAATCTTTGGATTATGGTAACTCGGCAATTTTTTGGCGAAAATTTGGCGACCAACCCTGCTACAGCAACCTGCTAGTTTTTGTTTGGATGCCATTTTGTTTTGACGAAGTAAAGAGCATTTTTTTTTTTTTTTTTTTTTTTTTTTTTAAACTGAACATTTTTTCCCAACAATCTGCTAGCCAAATTACGCTTATGCTAGAACTTTTATGGAACAAAAGTGCTTAATCATGACGAAGATTAGGTGCGAAATTGGGAGAAAGTGCAGAATCGCAAACTGCTTGCCGCGTTTTTAAGAATTCCACATACACGATATTCATGTACATGTCGACCAATTTTCACTTAAAAAAACATCCCAGAATTGCACAAAAATGGCACTGCACGCACTCTTGACTTTATCCATGTACACGGCTAGAGTCCTAGCTAGTAACCTTTATCGCCTTACCAAAATGTCGCCAAACTACCTGTTACCATATTCCAAAGATTAGCCAAAAATTTCGTTAAAAACATCAATTTATAATGACCAACAGCAAATCAATCCAGAAATGAGGTATGTCACGCATATTATTTCCCATCTAATAAAATGTTTGGTTATAATTTTTCTGAGAATTTCTTAGCAAAATATGTAAATAAAATTTGCTTTTGTCTAATTCTACAAAAGCGCACTTCTTGATAATCTTCGAGCTGATTCGCGATTTGCTCCAACTTAATGGCCTTGACAATCAAGCATAACATGCCTTACTTATATTAAAACTACTAGTTGATAGGTGACAGTAACATGAAAAATTTCTTTCCAGATCTATATGCATTAAATACAGCCACACATAATTTCAAAATTTAACATGAAAACTTCAAATTTGGAGCTATCACATGACAGGCAATAAAAAGAAGAATGCACACAATTAAATTATGAAGATAATGATAAATATTAAGTATGAAATAAGCCAGCTTTAATTATCCCACCAAAAAGAAATATGATTTAGAACTAGAAACAGAGTACAATTCTCTTAAAAAATACAGGAAGCATGATATTAAAGTATAGACTATAAATCAGTTATCAGGAAAAAGTAACAGTTTGTGCATAAAGAAATTTAAATATATATCAGCTGATAAATCAAAAATATTTAAATTTTACAGTCTAGTAATATAACTGCAAATTAAAATAGTATATTATAACCCCCACCACCAATACCAATTCTCAACAGTTTTAAGTTACATTCAGGTAAAGAATTGAAAAACTGGTTCAACTCCTTCAACATATTTCATAACATTCATTTTTAGAAAATGCCATTTTACATAGTACTTATTCTTTTATTGAATGAACTACAAAAGTTCTTTAATTCTTCATATCCAGCATAATTTTTTTAATGAATGAAAGTTAAACTTAATTAAATGAATTTTACTTGGCTTTAATTTGGCTAAGGAAGTTACTTTGAATATAGTCAATATAAATACATTAAAACAAATTAAGAAGTTAAAACTTTCTTAGAAAATGTCAATGAAATTTATATCACAATAAATAATTATGAGCATAAAGGATGCTCGCAAAATACATCCTGATATTTATCAAATTATTAAATTTTAACTTATTTCATGAGAGGTGAAAGTATTTCAACTATTTTAGACCTAATAAATAAAATACTCAGAACAGTAATTTTTTTCCTTATATTTAAGATTTTGATTATCTGTACTCCCACTCAAAATCATCAAATCTGGAAAGCATTTGTGAACTTATTGGCAAACTTCTTAGGAAAACAGGGTTCTTTCCACAACACATCCATTAGCAAGATCGAAATTTTTTTTTGCCAAGCCAAGTCTTCTGTTATCGGGACCAGATTCAGAAACATATATATGCATGCATGTAAGTGCATATATGTACACTGCGAAAAAAAGGGGAGGACAGCTCTATATCTCTCATTTTACTGGGCTGATTGTCGAAATTCAACTTACGTTTTTCATGTCTCGAAAGCGCGATTTGGAATATGGTACGTAAAAAAATTGGTATGTTATTTCAGAAAAAGTCTGATTTTGTGTCAAAATACCTATGTTAGAACGATGCCATATATAAATCTAATATATATCCTAAGTCGTGCTTTTGAGACATGACAATTGCAATTTGAATTTTGTCAATCGGCCCAGCAGAATGGGAGATATAGAACTGTACCTTTGTTTTTCTGCGCAGTGTACATGAATGAACACATACCTACATTTCTGAATCTGGTCCCGATAACAATAGAGCACCAAAGTCATTTTCAAAGTGATGCACAAAGTATAACATATAAGAGCAATCAAACAGTAAACTTAAAAAAGCAAGAAACATTGGTAACACAATTACCTTTCTGAAGAAATTCTGCAATTTTCATGCAACACTATTCTTCGCATGTACACATGTGCTGCATACATACCTGGCTTGCCACATAAATACATTTTGGTAACATCATGGGTTGCCACATAACTATTTTGGCAGCGTACAGTATTGCCTCATGAATACTTTTTTTTATAGTTTAGGTAAGGATGCACATAATCAGAAAGTAAAATTTTTATTCATATTTTATATAAGTATTATGCATTATATAATGATTAAAGAATTTAAAAAGCAGAGAATATATTTAATAACAGCAGAATGAGAAAAAATGAAAAATATGTTAGCTCACGTTACTAACAAACTACTATCACATCAGTTTGTAACATCACACACAGAAAAGAATAGAACTTCTACATATGCATTGAAAAAGAAAAAAGATCAATAAAGATTTTAAAAGCTGTAATATATTTTCACTAACTGATGTTTTTAATATTCATGAACTTTTAATTACACAGTTAGTCTTAAAATGAAATTAAAAATAATCATACACACCAGGACCAAAATCAGCATTTCCTTGCTCTCCAAAAGCCTGAAGATGAATATTGAAAATCTGCATAGTTACATTATTAGCAAGACTAACATCCTCCATGCTTCGGCACCGGTAAGAATTTCCAACTTTTACAGCAAACAACTTCGAATCATTATAAACAGTATCTGTAAATAAAAAAATATAATTACAAATAAGCAAATTTAGTAAGTTATTTTTATTGACTAAATATTTTTGAATATATATAATTGGAATAAAAAATAAGATTATATTAAAGATTATAACTTACCAGATTGCTCAGGTAACGTATAGGATAGAGTAATATTTTGTACAAAAGCATTTTTAACAGAATCTTCCTTGAAAACCATTCTGAATATGTAATTAGCATCAGTCAAAACTAATTCCTGGGTGGTATTTGATAAATCACACCTACTTCTATCAGAAGAAGCATTTGGAGATAATAGGATATATTCATCTTGCCCAAACTAAAAAATTAAGAAGAAAAACAACCTGCATCATAAATGTAATTAAGAAAAATAAAGCAGCTACTAAAACTTTATTGGGATAAAAAGTTCAAAATATGCAATTTTTGAATGATTGGTTTTAAAAATACTTTTTATTTTTTCCATTCTTATGAAGCTTATAAGTAAAAACATTCAAATAAAATCTACAAGAAAGAATAGTTTCACTGGACAAGATTGTTACAAAAAACTTTTTGCTTAGTTTTAAATAAGAGAAACTACACTAAATGAATAAATGAAAAATGGTTAAACTAGAAAAAAAAAAAAAAATAAAGCTATTAATTAAATAGAACATTTTTCTATTTGAGAAAAATGTTAAGACCTTTCACAAAGACAAATTATTAGCTTTTCTTAAAAATGCTATGAAAATGCATGTACTCCCATATACTCATTTTATCAATTTTACTGCATTTCTAACTTAATCCAAAATGAAAATATATTTACAAAGAACATTAAATTTATTATTTTAAAACCAAACCTAATTTTAAATTTACCTTTTCAAATATAAAGCTTTAATATATAGCTTTTTTCTGATATCAATTAAAATTAAAGAATTTTATTAAAAGCTGGTAAACAATGTTTCAGCATCGACTTACTTTACAGCTTTAAACATTTATTTTGAATATTCAATTATTCCAAATTAATTAGATCAATAAAAATTAAAAAATTGCAGATATAAATTATAAAACTGCAGAATGTTTAGCGTAAAGTGCAGAATCGCCCACTTATTTGTTTGACAATTTTTTGGCAATTTTTACAAGAGTAAGAAGAATTGGATTTTTTTCAATTTTCTTACACTTTTTAAGTGAAAATAGGTCGATGTGTACATGAACATAAGTCAAGGGAGTGCACAATGCCATTTTTGTACAATTCTGGGATTTTTTTTTAAGTGAAACACGTCGATGTATACATGGATACCGAGTATGTGCAATTCTTAAAAACGCAGTGGGTGATTCTGCACTTTCCCCAATGTTTATTGCAGGAAAAGTTATATACACTTATACCTACCATTAAAGGAATTTTGAACCTTATTTTTAAAATAGCTCTGATACAAGTTGTATTGCCATCGGTTATTAACCAAACTCCATCTTCTGGAACAGGGGGCTTTGGAGCTACTGTAGTCACTGGTGTAGTGCTTGTTACAGGATGTTCTGGAGTTGTAGTATCAGGTTGAGTTGTTGGAGCTGAAGATGTGGTAGGTGCTACTGTTGAAGATACTGTAGTAATGTCATTCTGTGAAATACCCGATGTACGAATTTCAGGTGTGGTATAGGAATCACTTTCTTGCACAGCTAATACTGCAACATTATGAATTAATAAACACACATGTATTTGGGATACACTTCATTATTTACAAAATTAGATTTTATCTTGCAAACTATACACTGACAGCACTTCATCTTATATTTTAACTATTTGTATTAATTAAAATATTATTTAACAAACCTCATACTTTAAATGAAGGTCAAACCTCTACCAGACGATCAAAACCAACTAGACATACTAAAACCATTACTATATAACTTAATTTTACATATCTAGCATGCTGTCTTCAGAAAAGAACTGGAATAGATAACAGATCACGTACAAGTTAACATATTTTTCAAAAATTTCTATTTAAAATGAATTATTTATCACAATGTTATGTAATTATTTAGCTGCATTACATAAGAACTTTTAATTTACACATATATAAATATATAGTTTTCTTTTCTTTCCTTTTTTAAAAGAATAAATAGCTAGGAATCAAACACAATGTACAGAAATGATAATTTTTGATAAACAGCTTACAAGATTATTGTGCAATGTATTAAAGGTATATGCCACATTTAGCTAATGGCTATTATGACAAGAGATTTCAGAGTATTTTGTCTCAAAGGAAAGATACCTTCTAGAACAATCACTTTAAGCAAACTTGCTCTACATGTGTTAATTACAGTTTAAAAAAAAAAAAAAAAAAACTTCAGTATCAAAACAAAACCACTATAGCATTATTAATTGAAAAAACGTTTAAACTACATATCTTTGCAACTAAAATATAAACTTTTAATTTGCTTGTATAAGCTGGCAATAAAAAGAATATAATTACACGCACTAAACTAATCCAATGCAGAATGTGCTCGTACAATTTTCTTCAAAGGCTTAGCTTAGTAGTCCAGAAATAAAAAAATAATTAAAAAAAACTGCACCTATTATTAATTTAATGTGTACTTAATTTAATGTGCACCTATTCTCTGCGGATGAAAACCCATTAATTATGCTATTAAACTTCTTTACTGATTGTCATGACAGCCTTTATTTTTTGTAACTGACATGATATATCGAAGCATGAAGGAAACAAATATTATAACGTTAATTTCATTTACAGCTGCTCTAATTTTCATATACCCATTATCTGTTTAATCATTAAGGTAATATGCAATAATTAAAAATAAAAGCTTACCTGTAGCTACTAACGCTATTAAAAATTTAATAAATAACAAATGTTTCATTTTCGTACTCGATAGCGCACATTCACGACAACACTCTCCAGAACGTTTACTTCCTGTCAACCTCAACTTATGCAAGCAGAGTAAGGAAAGTAACCGAACACAAAAGCCTTGGGTATGATAAGGAAATAGAAGTACCAAGTTATGAAATTTAAATTAAAAATTCGTTCTAAATTATTAGACAATCAAAATCTTCCAAAAACTAGAAAATTATTTAAAAAAATCTTGAAAAGCAATTAAAGGTTTAAAATTCTCCTTAATTGGATAATATAATGACGTAAACTACGGAACGTCATCTAATAGATTTTGCTTGAATTTCTTCTTAAAGATATATGATTTAGTGAGCTGAAAAACTCTTAATACTGAATCTTAATTTTTCCTATTTACACCATTTACTACATATAATGTACAAAGATAAAAACCAAATAATGCAATAAAAATAATTGCGTAAGAGGTAATGAATAAAACAAACGCAAATAAAAAATTTTTAAACACACTTAAGGAAGAAAATATAAATTTAGTATTGAAAAAGGAAATTGAACATTCGAAGTAAGGAAAAATTAGATACCTAATTTTGACTTAAATACATTTCAAAGAAACATCGCAACCATATATCAGGCAGAAAGACGAACTAATTGCTGTTTCTGTAGTACAGTTGTACGTACGAAGCAAAACCGTAGGAATATTTTTTTTATCATTGCATTTTATTTCTTCGTGTACTTTTGTATTCGGTAAACGTAGTGTAAGTAATTTAATATTTAGCATGGTGTATATATCAATTCTTGTGTATGATTAATAATATATATTGTAAAGTGTTTTACATCGCCATGTCGGCTCTTGGTTCCTGTTTTCTTAATTTATTTTACATTTATGTTAAATTGTTTAATGGTTAATTCAACATAATAGAATTATTTGAAATAAATGTCTGTCAACAAATTTAATTATTTAGCCATTAGTTCATTTTAATTACAAAATGTAACCAACAGAAATTTATAGGAAGTTTAATTATAAATAAGACCCTTCCCATAAGAGAGCATAGTAAAATAGGCCTTAGGCAAGCTAAGAAGCTACTGTAGTCAATGTGCTGATCACCTGACAATATCATAGTACTGTGCTTTTGACTGTATGTCTACTGTGGGGGTTCTCAACCTTTTTTTTTTTTTTTTATACATGCACCCCCTTCACCATTTCTAGACCATTATTTCCCCCAACCTTTCCAAGACTTGAAATATATATATTTGAAATTAATTTTGTTTATATAAATTAAACAAAAAAAATTATGTAAAATGTTGATACTTACCAAAACTTGAACAAAATTAGTTTTTATACTCAAAAGCTAAAGCTAAGTACTTAACATGTAAATAAAAGGCTGACCTCATTCCTTTCTAAAATACTGAAATTTCCCTCTGGGGGAAATTCTACCCTGGAGGAGAATCCTTGGTCTAATCTATTGACATTAATCTCACAAGAGGCAAAACTCGATGTCTTAAGTCCATTCTGAGTGTAAATTCTAATACAAAATTATTCAGAATGAACATAACTGTCTTGTGAATTTAACATATTTTCTCTGAGCTAGTGTCAGGATCCAAAATATATTTAGGTATTGCTAGTGCTTCAAAATAAATTCTTTTAATTCATTGCTGGAAATTCATCAAATATGCATTACACAGACGCTTAAAAATTGAATCTATTTAAAATTTTGGAAAGAATAAAAAACTACAAACTAATGCATATTTTTGGCAATATTTATGATGATATTTGTACATGTATAAAAACTAGTGTATTGTGCAATCTATCTCCTTAAGAATTCCAATCTCATGATTTAAGTTTACTTCATTTTGTTCAAATCTATCTTGGATTTATCTCTGAATGTTATCTGATTCATCAGGGTGCTCTTAAGAGCTTTTCAGAGACAAATGACTTAATTTTATTCCTTTTCTATTCATGTTTTTCATTTACTTATTTAAACTTTGTTATTCAAAGAACTTGCAGATAGTATGTTGTGTTGAAGCATTTGAAATGGCTAAGAGGTGACTAATGTATTTGCATATTCAGAACTTTCTTAATAATAACAATAATTTTAAAAAAATATTCTAGTGGCATTTAGGAATTTCTGCAAATTTTGTGATAGACTGCCTAAAGAAAACTTGTACCTGTGATCTCAAGAATTTCTTAATTGCCTGAAGGACCATGCTGCAATTTTGAAACCTTTTACAGGAGGCATGCAACAGTTTTATTTTCTGCAAGAGGTTTCAAAAGAAAGGCAGGTAAAAGTATATTTACGGATAATAAATTGGCGAAAATTGTCGGTATATGGATACCAAGTTTGTGAAATTCTTTAGCTTGTGTAGCACCGATTTTTGCTCCAAAATTCTCCGCTATGCAAAGCCAAAATAGCAAGACAAAGAATTGCACAAACTTGGTATCCATGTGCACAATGACCTATTTTCACTTAAAAAAACATCAGATAATTGCACACTCTCTAGACTTTGTCCATGTACACATCGAACACATGTCACCACATAAATTCACAAAAATATCATCCGTCACGCTGTTTATCGTCCGACCATATGCATTTACTTCCTGCAAACAGGACACTTAATAATGGCTACTAAGTAAACCTTCATTTACACACCTGTTACGTAATGCTCATTTCCTCTTTCTTTCCAAATCGTGCAGAAAATTCAAATTAATCTTACCACATTCAGCCATTTTACTGTCTAAACCACAAAACAAGCAATATACAGTGGGTGATTGGTTAACGAACAGTTCGGGCAACGAACACTTTCAGGAAAAATTTTTGTGTTCGGACAACAAACAATATTCGAATAACTAATTCTAATGAAAACCTCTCGGAACACCCGATCCAGTCTTCAATTTGTCCAAAAAATGGATGTGCGCGTGCGCTGACATGTCATCATTTGATGCGTGCATGCGCTGGCATGTTATCATTGGATGTGCGCTTGCGCTGACATACCATCATTCATACTATGATGCAAGTTTCAAGCCAATAGATCAAGAGGTTATTGCAGGTTTTAAGAAATTGTCCACTCGTGCGCTGTTTAGGCGATGTTTTGAAGCATGCCAATTCTCCTCAAAAATGACTTTAAAAATGTTTTGGATAGAAAAATTTGACATTCTTGAAGCTATTCGTCTTATTGAAAAGGCATGGTCAGAAATCACTCAACGACAGTTGGTTTCTGCCTGGCGAAAGCTTTGTCCCTCCCTCGTTCAAGGAGACGGAGGTGATCAGACTGACACCCCTGAAATTATGGATGAAATTGCAACAACTGCAAGAGATCTGGAATTGGAGGTGAACGAGGAGGACATTGAAGAGCTCATGATGGAACATAATGGTGACTTGATGGCAGAACTCCAAGAAATCTTGAATGAAGAACACCAAGAAACTTGGCGAAATGTGTTTCCTTCTGAAAAAGAGGAAGACGAAAGAGGAGCAATGCCAGCAATCTGCCATTAAAGAGCTTTTGAAGAAGTGGGAGGCTGTCAGAACAACGGTCTTAAAATTGCACCCAAACCAAGCTGATGTCGATAGGCTTGCTGATCTCTACAGCGACATTGCTATCAATCATTTCCTGAAAGTCCTGAAGGAGAGAAGAAAAATAATCGACATTGGACATGTTCTTTAATGCCCAAAGAAAGGAAAAGAACTGATTAATAAGTAAGACTATATGTATGTATTATATTTGTAATAAATAAACTTACTAAGAAATTATACACGTACATGACATTTTTTTTAAATTTAATTTTTAGGATCTCCAGAACGAATTAATCGAATTCCCATTAACATATATGGTAAATCGGTGATCAGTTAGCGAACATAATCTTGAAACAGTTTATGTTCATTAACCGATCACCCACTGTACTTCCTAACCAACACACACACAAGCCCTTATGATTAATCATAAGCCCCAAATTAATCTTACCACATTCAGCCATTTTACTATGTAAACCACAAAATAACCACCGTACTTCCTAAGCAACATCCAACACACAAACAAGCCCTTAATCTTTTCTCATTCAAATTCACCACAATCACGCAACCAATTACATCATAATAGGGTTTCCAAATGATACAACAACTTCACAATAATCCAAGGGGTAACCCCTCAATATACCTTAACCAGATAATCTATTGGGGAATGGTGTGAAGAATATAGTGGGTGAGGAAAAATTTCATAATTTGTGGAATACTAGCTGTTTTTTTTTTTTTTTTTTTTTTTTTTTTTGAACAACACATTGTAATAAGCATTATCATGGAATGCACAAACACTGTGTTCATGAGCACAGATTACTTCAGGTGACATTGTAGGTTCATTTTGTGTAGTTTAGCGTAGTAAAAGTATCCAAATTCGTGGTTTTACCTTATTTAACCTCTTCGCTTCTGACGTTGAGTGAATGAATTCCCTCCATGACCTTGGAGTACTGAATGTCACTGTGTGTGCCTGAGTGCACTTTTGGAATTAACCCTCTGAGCAGCCAGGGGTTTCGCTAAGAAACCACAAATTTTCCAAAACTACTTTGAGAACAAATTATTTTTTTGATTTTAATGGAAAAATTCTGCTGGTATTTCATAGCTGGATTTACATACTTTTGATATATTGCCTTAATTTCTTTGACATATTTTAATATGTACATATACAGTCAAAAGTCGTTAATTCGGACACCCATAATCCGGACCTCAAAGCTACAAACTTTCAGCGCATGCGTCGCGTTGACATGCACGTAAGACCTTTACGGCTGCGAATATGCATGTGCGCATGCGCAAAATACGTTTGCAAATGCGCGTTTAATGTATAACAGAAGGTATAAGCTAAGCTAAAATTATCTAATTCAGTTAATGTTGCAGATTGAGTTGTTCCTTAATTTTCCAATTGGATCCGGCTTATTATTTTTTTGCAGACTGTTACAGCAATTTTATAAAAGTAAGCTTGAGCTTTTGATTATGTCAAATAGAATTTCTGATATATAATTACTAATATGTAAAGGATCTACAAAGCGAAAGTATGTTTCAAAGTCCATTAAACAAAAAGTGGAATTGCTGCAAAAAATGGATGAAGCCATATCCTTTATCTAACCATTCCGAAATCTGTTTATCAATTTAACGCTGCTCTGCGGCCGGGGAGGGGGGACGCCGCGGCGTGCAAGGAATTGGAAGTTGATCTGTCAGCACTATCCTTATCTTCAGAGCAGATGTTTTTATTTTATTTGGCTTATAATTCCTTAATAAATGTAGTATTTCATCTCCATGTACTCCGTCTTTGATATGATTTAAATCAAATTCCTCATGATTATAATTCACTTCTGATAGCAAAGAAAGTGACACAGAGGTTATTGAAAATGAAAAAATTTCGATTGACAAATTAGTCGGTATTCTCGACACAGCAATTATAGGACTTGAACAGTGGAACTTTGCTACTGAACAAGAAACTATGTCTGTTTATAGAATTAAAGAGAAAGTATTATCACATAAAAAACTAAGCAACTTAAACAATTTATATTGAAAGAAATGTTTAATAAAGTAAACAAATAAATATTGAGCTTTTTTTTTTTTTTTTTTTTTTTTGAAAATTTTGATACCCTTCAGATCATAATTGTTCTTTATTTCATAAATTATGGTTTCATATTTTTAATTTTGTAATTTCTGCGTGCCGTCTTACCAGATTTAAACTGATGATCTATAATCCGAAAAAATCGATAATCCGGAATCGCCCTACGAGTCCGGATTAACGACTTTTGACTGTATATACGTTCTTACAGATATCACAAAAAATATTCTAGGTCATATATATATGGCCTTGCCGCTTGAAGGGTTAAGCTTAGCATGTGAAATTAATTCCTATAAAAATGACCTACTTTTTATCTAAATATTTGTTATTTATGTTATTAAACACTAGAACGGCGGAAAAATCTTACCTACTGGAACGGTGGGTGGTAAGGAGTCATTTTCACCCTTCGATGAAAGTGCTGAAATAACAATGGTAAAAAAATTTTAAATGCCATACATTGGCACAAATATGTTATATGTATTTCATAATTTATATTTAATATCACATGATAATTTATTGACTTTTTAAAACACTGTAAATGCATCGAGTACATGGCGATCAATTGGATCATACTACAGTTACTCAAATAACTCATTAATTTGATAAAAGAATTGATTTCAAATAAATGGTTTCACAGATTAAACCTAATGTTAACTAAAATAAAACCCAATTTATATAATATTTTTTTATGTACTTACTCGGAGGATGATTCACTCTCTAAATCCAAAAATGAGAAATGTTCTCTATTGTTTCAGTTATATATATTTCAGTTATTAAATATGTGTAGCTGAATGGAATATGTAAAGCATTTCGTTGCAATTCTATTTAATGTTTAAAATAAAAGAGATTATTATTAAGTATTATGAATTAATGCATTTGATACAAAAATAATTTTTAACAATTTTTCCAGTGCATTTTCCGCACACAACTTTGGAACAAGATGCAGGATATTCTTGAGATTTGTTTCCATTGTATCTCTGTACTTGACACTTTTTTTTCTCTTTATATCCATTTTCTTTTCATTTGTTTTTTCTGAAGCCTCAGAAAGGATCTTTGGGAGTTTTGAAGCCATATATACCACTCTTAACTCCTCTCCTAATTTCAGTAGAAAATCTCTCCTGTTAATGGTGTTTCCTGTTAACTGAATATTTTCGGCACATCTGATCACGAATATCCACACCATACTTTGTTGTGTTGTAAAATGCTATTGAATCGGGCAACTTCTTGAGACTGTCTTCAGTTTTTTACAGTAGAATGTAATGAGCTCAGTAGAAAACCACTTTTGTTTCTTTTGCCTTGATAGATGGTAAGTGTGATATTATCATGTTCCGCTATTGTCGGTGAATAAAGATTACTACTCATATATTTTGTATTTTTTTTATTTTAACATTTCTGCTAATTTAATGCTACTAAAATAGCTATCCGTGGTAATATTCCTCCTTTTGTTTAGATGTGGCTCCGTTAATTTTATGACAACGTTTTCAGACAAACATAATTGAGAATTTGCTGTTTCCTCTTTGCCTAGATAAGGAAATCCATTCAAGAATTATTTAGTATCAACATCGGAAGATAATCAAAATTTTATTCCAAATTTGTCAGGTTTATTAGGTGTATGTTGTGTAAATCTACACCTAGCTTTATATGGAAATAATTGTTCATCAACTGTAATATTTTGTCCTAGCTGGTAGCACGTTTTGCAGTTTTTAATAAATTTGTTTCACATGTCTGATGCAAGAGCAAATCTATCAGTCTGTAATCAAGTAGATCATGTTGAAACGACTTTTAAGGTGATCATCAAACCTTAAAAACTGTTTTATTTCTTTGAATCTATCTCTTGATATAGTTTCTTTGCAAAATGGTATTCCCCACGCTTCAGACCACAAGGAATATAAATCTAAGCCCTTTGCTCCTATTACTCTTTGAACATACAATATAGCAACAAAAGCATCTAACTCAGCCAGAGATAACTTCCAGTATTTATTTCCAAGTTGCCGATGAGCTTCGGATTCTGTACATTTCTTTCTATGCAGCAAGATATCATCATCAATAACTTGAAAGCACTAGACACTTTGTCCTCGGAAACACTACTCTTTGCAAAAGATGTTGGTCCTGCTGTTTCTTTTAGAACATTATAATTAGGAACACGGCTGCAGACTGAATTTTTGGAATTTATTTCATTCCATATAGTGTTATCGGGAGCTGTAAAAACAGTTTTACAAATACCCTGATCTGTTTTTGCCCGTTTATTTCTGCTGAGTTCTTCTTAGTTTACTTAGCTGTCTTCGGATTCACTAATAGTTTGTGCCTGGATTTCATCTTCAGTTTCTACAAAAAAATTATCAATTTCACCTCTGTCAGACTCATTTTCAGATAGCTCCTGCAACAATTTTTTAATTTCTTCATCCGTAAGACTTCTGTTTTAGACATATTTTGTAAAGGTTGAAAAAAGTAGAACAATATCAGACTATCAGAAAACGATAGGGAATATATTTTAGCATATGATTCTCACAGGGTAAAGGAAAGGTGATAATGAACTTGATGGCAGAATTCATATATACTGAAATACTGAATGAGCAGAAAGAGGCAATACATGTCAATATTTTAAAAACTAACAAACCTAGAATGCTGAAAATTTTTTTACAAATATTTGTTATCTATTTAGGAAACTAATCCAGAAGTCAAACAACAAAAATCAGTGTTATATTTACAAAAAATTTGTTATTTGACTTCTGGATTAGTATTTATTCGGCGTGTTATTGTGTCTTAATTATTTAGGAAAGACAAATTCCAAACGATTTCTTCCAATAAAACAAGTAATCAACGGTCAAAAGTGTTCAGGGGTCAAAATCACCCCTACCACCGTTCTAGTGTTAAATGTCATTAGAGTATAAACAGAAAAATCCTAATATTTAAAATCAAAATAAAAATTCAAAATAAGTTAAAGTGCAATAATAGTAATAATGATGATAATCCCAAATTTAAATTATTTTTGTATAATAAGGAAATAAAAATTTGAGAATTTAAATATTAATGCTTATAATTTCGTATCACTATATTTACCAAAAAAAATTTTAAGCTGCTTGCACTGTGTAAAATAATAAATAATATTCATCACAACAACTTTAATACTCTAGAAATTCTCGAGTTTTTGCGGCATTCTGAGATAATTTATGCACATTTAAAATTTAAAATAAAATATTCTGGTTCAATGTATCGTGTATGATATGGTGGGCTGTCAGTGATTGCTCCCATATCACGTTTGATATGGTGGATCCCACGGAGGGAAACTGAACTATATCATATATGATACGCTGGAAACGAAGAGTTAAGGAAGACATGGATCCCATCTAAAGATGGTTTGGGGAAGCATTCTGGATTCCCATCAACATTTATTTACTGAACAGATCTGCGATGAGTGTTATACCAAACCTACCTTTCACCATTAGTAGCAGTTTGATGTAGAACTCTGTCCTGTTATTTTCCGGCATAAAGAAGGTGTATGTATCTCTGTTCTGTATGTCTCATTTGTGAGAGAGAGAGAGAGGATGAAGCACATGTCCAGTTTCTTTACTTTGATTGCTGACTGATATCTTAGTACAAATATTAAGTTTCTCAGCTGTTATATATACACTCTGTAAGGTATCTCTCGCTTGTAAGGTATCTGGAAAGCATTTGTAACTAATGTCTACACAGTGAATGTTCTAATAGAAAATTTTGCAAACTAATGAGAAATGGTGAGTTCACTAGCTGTATGTGGTTCATGCAGTAAAATATATAGAATGATCTGATTTGAACTCGTAAGGGAAATTTTCTTTCAGTTAATATGGAGTTCGTGGTAAACTATACTTTTGTAACTAAGTAACAAATAGCTTATCAGTCACATATTCTTCCACGCAGATATTATCTTCCATGTGATGTTAATAGTAATTTCCTACATGGTTTATCAAACATTTCTTGAAATTGGCCATTTCAAGTACACCAATTCATTACTTTTTACAGTAATGTGAAAGTTAATCTGAATATATCAAATAAAAGCTAAATTTCAATGAAACATATGTTTACAATACTTAATATACTAGGAAATACGCTCTCCTTTGATAACTTATTCACAGAAATTTTTTACATACTTGTTTTGAAAAATGTATTTGATGTATGGCCTTTTATTTTTATCATTTCTTTTTCTGGTGACAAAAATTTTCAGTTTCCTTGATATGAAGTGAAATTACATAGTTGATGCTTTGAAAAAACATTTTTAACTTTCTTGCAGCATGCAGAGCAGTTACATCTATAAAGTTACATAAGTCAAGGAGAACATTCAAAATCAAATAGTGTTGTCAATAATAGAATTTAAAAAATTTCAAATAGTCTTTTGCTCGCTCCAGTTTGCACGTTTACAGCCTCCTTGGTAATGTTACTTTATGTTTGTGGGGAAACGTATTTGCTGAATGCTTATATTTTAGTTAAGTAATTAAGGTATCAAGATTTTTGTAGCATTTGTGTATCTGACAAATTCTGACATTTGAAAATCTCTTTATGAAGGCATCTGTCCCTCTTTTTTTTTTTTTAATAAATTATCTATTCATCTATCTAGCATAGAGTTCCTGAGCCTAAAATTGAAAGCCTGACATCAGTGTTGTGGCTCCAGCAATTGTCTTTAACATTAACCATTAACTAGAAAGCTAAATGCAACCAGTTTCAAAAGTCTTAATTAGTATTGAAACTTTTAAAATTATAAATTTTACCTGTAAATCTTCTATTTAAGAGAGTATTGTTTTTCTTTGAACTTTGTGTTTTAATGTTATTTAATATGTTATATAGTCATTATTTTCTGTATTATATAATCATATGAATATTTTCTTAAGAAAAGGATGAATAATTTCAGAACAGTTGGATTTTTATTTAAGGTTCTTATCTTAAGGTTTTATTTAAGATTTAAATATGAAAATGATTTAGTTTTTCTATCTATAATTGCCAGGAGTTTTGCATTATGAAGCCTGGAAGTGTTGTGGCTGACGAAATGTTTCCTGAAGGAGCTGGCCCATATATGGATTTAGAAGAAGTAAGTATTGTAGTTTTATGTAAAAATTTATGTATGCTGTATCATTGTTGCACCACTTATGATAGGTAAATTACCTCAGTTAATAGTTTGAAAAAGAGTAGCATCGTCTCAGTTTATCGTGAGACTATGATTAGAACAGTAGTTTAAAGATTTTAAAATTAGATACAAGTTTGTAATGAAGCGGTTTGTTGCAAATAATTGAAAATAAAATATTTATGCCTTTAAATATTCAAGCAAGCCATCTCATTTATCTGCTTTAATGAGTATCTTTAGTCTAAAGTAACCAACATTTTTGGCGTCCCCAGGTGGGTGGCTTAATTGGAACGGTGACAAGAAGCTAGAAAAGGTTTAAAATTATGGCTCCACCAAATATTGAAGCTCATTACAAGGAACTTTTGAATCCCATTAAAGATCCTGAGTCTTTCAGTGTCAACATTGCTGAGCTGCTGCAAGATTATTTAACAAATTTGGTTCAAGGAAGGGTCCCCCAAATTTTCAGCTGCTTTAAGGAAGTTCTTGTATATATGGTAAAAAGGTGGAATACATATACAATTTGGCAAATCAGTTGCATCAGAAATTAGCAAAACAACAAAATAGGAAAAAACTGCCAAATAAAAAAAAAGACAAAAAGAAGAAAAATTAAGTGATCCGTTTTTGTGTACTGAAATCAAACTTGGCAAGAATTTAAGTTGTTTAAAGAGAAAGAATTCCCCCCAAAATACTGTAAATAAGAAGTAGGAAGACACAGCTTATGAAAAGTGTATTTGTACCTGTGTTGCTGTTAGTTTTGGAAGATGATAAGAAAGGGGCTATTATCTTTGATACAGAAGGAGAAATTGTGGGACATAAGGGAGATTTTGTGTCAAATAAATGCACATTATCTTTTTCTGGTTGGTTGTTGCTGCCTACTATGAACAGAGATCTGGTACCTTCTGATCCTGCTGCAGCTGATTTTATCGAGGAAGAATCAGAAAAGGAAGAATATTGTGATACTTATGATGTGATACCTACAGACAGTGGGGATCCTTTACCTTCCCTTTACGAAGGTTTTGGAACAGACTTTCAGGGTGTTTCTCCAAATTCTCAAAATTTATCACATGATGGTTGTTCTATTTCAGCCTCCAATGATGAAGGTGTTGGAACAGTTGACAGCCCTCAGTCTTCAACAGTTCCTAATTCTCAGAACAGGAATTCAGACCTCACATCATCTGGTCAGCCTCTGGTTTCCTCTAAAGGACAAAATGATACCAATCCAGGCCTTACACCTTCTGATCTAAATAACCTTAAAATGCAAATATTTTGATAGTACTGTAAAGGTGCAGCTACTCCAAGCCAAATTAAGAATAACTCCTCCTTAAAACAGCTTGATTGGACAAAAATTCAAAGAGAAGTTGAAGTTAGTCAAATCAAAGAGAAGCTCAACGCACCATCACCCATGGTGGGGAAGATTCTTGGAAAGACTAATCGGCATACTTAAAGGATCTCCTCAGAAAAAACTTAGGACATTAATCTTTGACTTACGAAGAACTCTTGACTTTCGTCTGCCAGTGTGAATCAATTATGAATAATAGACCTTTGACATACGTATCAGAAGAACCAGATTTAAGAATTTTGAAACCATCTTCGTTCTTTCAAGATCTTCCTACCAATGATATGTGCGACCTAGACAAAATCAGCAATGGTAAAAAAATATGGCAGTTGAGTGCACTTTTGTAAAGTCTAATAATTTTAATGCAGTATGTATTCATTTTCTTCCAATCATTTCAATAGAAGTGAATCTAGTGCAGCTGCAAGCTATGCCAAAGTAATTCACTTTTGTCCCCTGTAATGTCAGAAAGGAAAACATCTTTGTCGCTGAAACTACAAAAGTATTGGGACTTTTACGAAGAAGTAGAATTCAAACTTGCAAATGATGACCATTGCCAAATTTTAGATTTCTGTTTTTGAGAAATTTTATTCCATCAATTCGATAGCAAACTAATTGACTGCTCTAGGTTTTGGAAACACTTGAAAGAAATCAAGAAGTTGGAACAACTGAACCTTGCCATAATTTCCTTTCGTTTCAGGGGTGAGAAGCTTTTATCTTATTTAAGATGTGGAAAATTCTTTTATCTGCCCCCTCCAAAGAATTACACAGTAGCTGTGCAATACTTAAAACAAGGTTATAGACAAATACGTTTTATGCAAATAGAATAATGTGAACATTGACTTGAAATAGACATTAAATATTTTAATATTTCATGTATATTAGAAAGTTTACATTTAATCTTTATATTTTGTTGAGTTTTCTTCCAAAGATTCTAAAACTCAAGTGGGAAAATGTTGCACCACTTATGGTAAGTAAATTACCTCAGTTTTAATGTTTGAAAAAGAGTAGCAATGCCTCAGTTTATCGCGAGATTATAATTAGAACAGTATTTCAAAGATTTTAAAAATAGATATGAGTTTATAATGAAGCGTTTTGTTGCAAATAATTGAAAATAAATTTTTATGCCTTTAAAGAAACTTCTTGTTCGTGAATTCAAGTGAGGCGTCTCATTTATCTGATTTAATGAGTACCTTTAGTCTTAAGTAACCAACAATCATATTTGCAGTTATTGTTAACAATAATTTTTGTGCACAAGGGAGAATAAAAAGATTTGGACATAAGTGAGAAATTAACAATCATTTAAGGATAATGCCTTAAAGTTCAGAATATGATGTTATGTAGAATGTTATGTGCCATATTATGAAGTGCTTGATAGACTCCAAAATATTGCCTAGTAAAAATGCATTAACGTGAAAATTTCACAAGTATTTCAGTTTGAGATTATTTCCTTTTTTTGCAGTAAGTAAATTCAATCAAATTTTGCCAATTGTGACGATTATGAGTGATAAACGACATTATAATAGATTGGAATAACTATCTTCGAGAGAAATACTATGTTAAAAGGAGAAAAGAAAAAAGTATAATTGGTACTACAAGGTTCGCTGAAGCTTTCAAATGCCGAGTTAGCAAAACTGCCACGATAATGTAAAGTGGCATTAAAAAAAGAAAAAAAAGGTACGATTTGGTTTTGAGGGCCGTAAAAAATCGCCAAACTATTGTTGATGCCAGTGCTGCCAAAAATAACTGCGGCAACCCAAACGCAAGAAAGGAAGTATAATAGTAAGTAACTATCTAAGATTGATGTTTTAATTTAGATGAAAGGTTAATTTCATGTAATACTTTTTTATTATTATAATTTATATAAAAAAGGCTAAACATGACTGATTGGAAGCATAAGAGTAAATAGATTCTTATAATTTATATAAAAATTGCTAAACATAACTAAATGGATGCCTGCATCTCTATTTCGCTACCGAGTTATCGCTAAAGCATAGTTTCATCTCGTTGGTTGTTCAAACGTAATTTTCTATAATGAATGATGCCTTTCCTTTCTTGGAAAAGTGCAGAATCGCCCACTTATTTGTTTGTCGCTTTTTACAAGGGTAAAAACAATTGAACTTTTGTCAGTTTTCTTTTACTTTTTTAAGTGAAAATAGGTCGATGTGTACATGGATACCGAGTATGTGCAATTCTTAAAAATGCGCCAAGCAGTGGGTGATTCTGAACTTTGCCCAAAATTCTATTGCACACTTTTCGTCATGGGCAATTCCCAAATTGTTAAATCCATAAGGTATCAAAAAAAGATTTAAAAATTAAACTAGTATTTCAGTGGCGTCTTAAAAATATAGAACTATATAAACTTATGCAATCTGAAATCCACGCGTATGCTAGATTTGGCGTGCTGTTCAATGGGCACATTTGCTAGATTTGGAGCTTTTGCGCATACATTTTTGCTGCAATTTCTTACGGTCCTCAAAACGGAATAGTACCAAAAAAAAAAAAAAAAAGTATTTATCATCCTATTGGTATCCAGATCCTCTTCTGCTAATAAATATTCTTTTGGATTCCAAGTAGCAAGAATGCATTATATCTGACAATATTTCAATGCTGAATTGACAGAGAAATATTATGACAAAGACAATTAATTCAGGGTAGGGGTCAAAATTAAAAGCATGTTTAAAATATTTTACTGTGTTATAGATAGAATGATTATTAATGAATTAATTATTATTTTTAAAAAATTGATTTTTAACTTCCATCCAATACAAATTAAAGTAAATATAGCTAAAGTAATACATACTTTTATTGAGTTAATAAAAGATGTACCAGAAAAATGATTTGTGCATTATTATTATTTTTTTGGTACGCAACCACTTTCAGTAAGATATAAAAAGGAACCATAAAGAATATTCTGTCTTGTAAAAATTGCAATATCTTTACATCTATAATTTTTAATCTAAAATTGCTGTTTATGAGGTTTTGGTAATCCAGGTGGCATCTGATCTGTTATTTTGAAATGAGACTGTTCATACATTTTGCGAAATATTATGGAATGTGTAAATTTAAGTTTCATCTTAGTTTTCAATTAAAACTCTATGAATAAGAATTATCTGAAATTATATTTAAATATTTTTATGAAAGTATTTTCATTTAATAATTTTTCACAAAACTATATTAATTAGGAAAAGGTATGGAAATTTTTAGCAGTTCTTCCAATTATAACACATAGATTAGTTTGCTTTCATTTACATTTATACTTTTAAGTAATTTCTATTAATAATTATGTGATGAAATTATAAACACAAGTCTTATGTGTCTTTGCATTTTTATTTTCTTGTGTTATTTAAATAAATATAATATTGTTACGAATTTGGTATTTAGAAAGCTATGTTAGTTCAATTATAAATTAAATGGTTTTATTGCTCGCGCAGTGCAGCGCGTGACGAATATTAAAAGAAAGCTAAGCCGGAAAATTGAAAATGCAAGAGCGCGTGCATTAAATAAATAAATATCTCTTTTAGATTTCGAGAAAGTACTGGAGAATTCTAGCGCGTGATTTAAAAATCTTATAAAAGGAGGAAAGCATCTCAGTTCGTAGTAGTTGTTTAGTTTGTTGTTGTTTAGAAAACTGCCCTTGTTGATTGTAGCGAATTCGCGGATTAGCTTTCTTTAGCTGTTTTGAATTATGTTCTATTGGACATTTGAGTAGTTAAAAGATAACTACTGTGAGATATTGTAATACTGCATCATAATTTGAGAAAATTTAAGAATTTTGTTGTGATAATAATAAATTTTTGTTCATTTTTCATCGGACTTGTGCATTCCTTTCATAACGAACCCGAACGCACGCAACAATATTAACTTTGTATTGTATCATCTCCATTGTAGGCTGGAGGATCTAGTGGCCTGTTAATGGACTTGGCTGCAAATGAAAAGTCTGTTCATGCTGATTTTTTTAATGGTAATTATATTTTTCAGGCTTTTTTTATTAATAATTTTTTTCTAATGCTTTGAGCTTTAAATTATTTTGTTCTCAATGTATATTAAAAAATCCAGAATTATTACTAAAAATTTAGAATTAATATTAATAATAATAATTAATTGCACAGTATGTAGTGAAAGTGTTATTTCTTCTTTTTAGGAATTAAATGTGAAAATCTAGCATTTAATACAGGTTGTATTTAATTTCAGCCAAAATTGGTTGAAGGTCTTTAATTTTGCTCATATGTCTGGCTCTCCTTTATAACTGCCATTTTGAGTAAGAATTAGCATTTTGGATGAATATGAAATTTAAATCATGTTACTTGTAACACAGCCATTGCAAATTAGCATTTTAAACAATAAGAAATTGACAGTCATCTTTGACTGAAAATTTCTAGTTGCTTGATCTGTTGTTCATCCAACATTTTAAAACGAGTGTTACCAGCAAGAATATTATCTGTCTGCATTAATATTTCATTTTTGATATGCCATTTTTGAAGTATGAACTATGACAAAACCTTCATCTTCTTAAAGGTCACAATAATAATAAAACAATCTTCAAGAAGATGAAAACATCAATGAATAAAAATCAGTTTTTCACCTAGTGTTATCAAAAATCTAGAAAATTTTTAAAAATAAGGAGGGAAATTTTGACAGTATCGGCTGGTATTAAAAAGTATAAATGTGGCAAGGGACACACATTTACATGGAGAATTTCAACTTCTGTATCTCTAGACCACTAGGAAAAGTGCATATTTTCAAACATTTATAAAAAAATTTTGTCTTTACAAAACCTGTTCCAGTTTTACAATTTTAATTTTATAAATAAATATTTTTTTATGAATTTTTAATTTTTATAAAGGTATTATGAACTTCTAATTTGGAAATTTCTGGCCAAATATTTATTTGATTTGCTTGCTCTTGACAGACACTCAAGTTATTGTTTGAATTCTTTCCACTTAAATGCATATAGTCTGAAAATACTTTTCCTTTTTTGGAATATGACTTTTGTCATGCATTCCTAATTTTAGTGACTTATCAACACAGTAGTGAATTCAAGATAAATTTTTCTAAAAAAAATTTTTTTTGTGGTTTGCAAATTTTGTGATTTTTTTTACATGCATAATGACATTCATAACTTGTCATTAACATAACAGTAATATATTAAAATTATATTTTTTAAAACTAACATTAACATAAAATATTTCAAGTGACTTGTTATTTTTAAATGTTTTAATTCTGAAAAATAAATAAGATATTAACTATTATAAAGCATAGTTTTCAATTCACTTTTTAGCCAAAAAAAAAAAAAAAATACTCTAATTACTTTGACATTTAATTTGTGTTTCATATAAATATAATTGGATAGTAATTTTAATTAGTGTACTAATTATTAATTATTAATGAATTTAAATTAGGAATAGGTTTTTTGAAATCTTTAATTCTTTTAATCCCAGCTCTCTGCATTCAGGAATTTAGTATAGCTCACTGTAAGAGAAAAAAACAATAATAAGAGTATCATTAACAGCTGTTTGCGAAGGGTCAGTCCAGGGGAAGTTGGCTTAACTGTAAAAACAGGAGAAAAAGGTTTGATGTGGAGTTCTGTTGATTAAAAACTAGGGAGTTAGCTTTCCTCTCCCTTGTGTGTAAGAGAGAAAAAATTCAGGTTTCTTCATGTGCAAAAAAAGAACAAAAAAAAGGGGGGATTGTTCCTGTTGTAAAATAAGAGCTGTGTGCATAAAATTCTTAGTTTAGAATTAAACAAAAGACTTGAAAAACAAAATTTTTCTTATTGATATTAAACTTTATTTTGCTGGAGTTCTTGGCTGTATTTGGTTCAGCGGGCTTAGGTAAAAATAATAGGCTGGGGTTAATTTTAATTTTTTTAATGAACCTATATGAAATTGAAGACATTTTACTTAGGTGTCTTTGGAATGTGTTTGGAATAAGAGCATCAGATTATGAATAGATTTTGTGTGATATGATTTGGTTAAAGTTAGATTAGCCCAGCAACCACTGAGGCCCCAGGACATGCCAAGGAGATTTTCAAGGTACTTTAGCTATGCCTGGAGAGGATACAGTGGCAGGATTTTTCTTCAATCAAATTTAAGTATTTACCAATGCATTCCCTTTTATTAAATTTTGCTACGTAATATCTGGGAATTTTTAATATCAATCAACAGCTCAAAGGTCTGATTTTTTAAGTTGCCTGGCACCAATCAGTTGATTTAAATTTGGCCCAACAATAGCTCAGAAAAACTCATAATTAAAATAAATCACTTTACATAAGAACTCAAAAATGGACTGTATATGAAAGTTTATTAGTTTCTCCAAAAAGCTGAACTCAAAAGTTCAGATTGAATTTGAAAAATTAAGAGTCAAAAATTCTTTGTAAGTTAAAATTGTTTTTCCCACTACACGCTTCAAGTCATATTTAAGGGATTTCACGCTAGCTTCCCATAAACCTCCAAAGTGAGGAGTATTAAAATGCCAATTTATGCCTTCAGTAGCTAAATAAATTTTGATTTCTTCCTCACTTTTATCCTTAAATAAAGATTTTAGAATTGCTCTTAATTCTCTATGAGCACCTACAATATTTCTACCATTGTCACTGAAAATATCTGAGGGTTAACCTCACCTGGCAATAAAGGGTTTAAGTGCTGCTATAAATACTGCACTTATTAAATCATTTACAATCTCAAAGTGTGAGGCTTTCATAGTGAAACATACAAAAATACATACAAATACTTTTCTTACCTGTTTACTTCCACCTACAAAATTTTTTACCACAAATGGACCACAGAGATCGAGTCCTGTTCTAGCAAAAACTCTGGATATGGTCACTCTCACAACTGGTAAATCAGCCATCTGTTGCTGTGCAGACCTGGAATTTATCTTTTTACAAATCATACAATTAACTATATTTCTTGCAGAAGCAATCCAAAATTTGCTTTTTCCAAGTGGTAGTGTTGTTTCAGCATCTGCATAAAAGTAAAGAACATGATGAAAATGATTAATCACAATTACAGTAAAATTATGTTTAGTTGGTAGAATCATAGGATGTTTTCTTATTTCACTTAAATCACTGTTTTTTAGTCTGCCACCCACTCTGAGTATTCCATCATGATCTAGAAATGAACACAAATTCAATTGTTTACTACTACAGTCAAAAGTCGTTAATTGGGACACCCATAATCCGGACCTCAAAGCTAAAAACTTTCTGCGCATGCGCCGCGTTGGCACATGCGCACAGGCGTTTTACGCGTGCGCGTAAGACCTTGACTACTGCGCATATGCGTGTGCAGAATACGTTTTCGCCTGCGCGTTTAATGTATAAGGGACGGTGTAAGCTAAAATTATCTAATTATCTATTTCAGTTAATGTTAATGATTGCATTGTTCCTTAATCTTCGAATTGGATCCCGCTTATTATTTTTTGCAAACTGTAAGAGCAATTTTATAAAAGTAAACTTGAAATTTTGATTATGTCAAATAGAATTTCCGATGCTGGAACTTCCAAAGGATCTACAAAACGAAAGTATGTTTCGATGTCCAACAAATAAAAAGTGGAATTGCTCCAAAAAATGGATAAAGACATGAAGAATGTGACAGAGAGGTTAAAGAAAACGAAAAAATTTCGATTGACAAGTTAGTCGGTATTCTCGGCACACGGGACTTGAACAGCGGAACTTTGTAACTGAACAAGAAATTATGTCTGTTTATAGAATTAAGGAGAAAGTATTATCACATAAAACGAAGCAACTTAAACAACTTACATTGAAAGAAATGTTTAATAAAGTAAACAAATAAATATTAAGCTTTTTTTTTTTGTAAATTTTGGTACCCTTTAGATCATAATTGTTCTTTATTTCATAAATGACGGTTGCATATTTTTAATTTTAGAATTTCTGCATGCCATCTTACGAGATTTAAACTGATGATCTATAATCCGGAAAAATCGATAATCCGGAATCGCCGAAGTCCCGACGAATCCGGATTAACGACTTTTGACTGTATTAGGAATAGGAGCATCCTTTTCTAAGCATTAGATTTCTATCACAAATGAAGTCCTTTGAACATTTTTCACAATACAGCACTAGAAAGTTCACTGGTGGTCAAAGTTCCATGCGTAGCATACAATGGGTGCCTGGTGTTATGCAAGGATCTCTTGCTCCAAGCCACTACTCTTAGCAGTTTGTTGTAAGATGAACAATTATTGATGATATCGAAAGACTCAGAAGTATTAATAAGTGCACATATTTCACTTACTATTGGTGGTTTTAATTCGCAAAAATATAGTTCTGCAGTCTCCTCAGGAAAACAGCTTGACACTCTGTCATCACAGGTTGTAGAAGAAATGGGGGACCACACCACCACAGTTCACACAGCTGAAGTTTGACTGGATCAGTACCTCTTGATATGAGATCCACAGTGTTCTGTTTAGATGGAACGTGATGCCACTGTTCAACTGCGGATAAATTTTGGATGATTGATATTCGATTAGCAACAAAAGTTTTGAGAACTTTACACTCCTTTCTTAACCATGCTAGTACAATGGTGCTATCAGTCCAGAAAAATGTTTTAGAAACCTCTAGTTTTAGTACTTTTAAGACTCTTCTCATCAATTTAACTAATAATATAGCAGCAGAGAGTTTGAGACGCGGTATCGATATACACTTTAGAGGCGCTACCCTGGATTTACTAATGAGAAGTTTCAACTTCAGATTCACCATAAGAATTGATTGATTTCACATAGATGACCGCTTCCATATGCCACTTCCGAAGCATCAGCAAATCCATGTAACTCTCCTCACTCACAGACCATTCATTCAGGATCCATCTTGGGATCCTGATAAGGTTTAAAGCCTTTAAGGAAGCTTTTCTGCTTGACATTTTCCATTAAAGGAAGAGTGTCACACCAATTTAATTTTAACAACTATAAATTTTGTAAAAGCACTAAGCCCTTGTAATGATTGGACCT